CAGACCAACATTTGCATTGCTTTATGTCAGAACTCAACATTGCAGAAGTCTTCAAGCAGGATCCATCGTCTCTGCCAGGGTCGAGCATATGGATACAGCAAATCCATCATTTAGACCATCAACCTGCCAATGCAAAGCAGCATTTCCCACAGAAATCATGGCTTTACATTTTTCTTGAAAGTATCAATATTCCCTTCTTTGAGGGGAGAAGCAGATGCCATCCATCTCAGCTTCCAGACACTCTGTTATTAATGCGCTAAAAATGCCTACAACGGTGTGTGAATTTTAGGGTGTCTTTGGCTCAGTGACATGAGAGCTGCCTTCCTCCTAAATGTAGAAAATGGGCTAGCAAATAAAATTTGGTGAAAAAAAAATCTATTATCTTGTTATGCTTGTGGGGGATTTTTTTCACACGATGGTTTTACTGGGTCTGCGTGTCTGCCTTTTAAAGTGGTATTTCTCTCCCTGCCTCCTACCACCTCCTGTTCAATCCCCCTGCAGTGAGTCATGAGGTGCGTGACAGGCAAGAGGAGGCAGCTGCCAGCTCAGAACCAAGCCTGTGCTCTGTGTAGGAGACAATAACTTAAATAAAATGTTCTCAGCTGTCAAACCAGGGGATTTCTTGTTGCAGTGAGAATTCTTTTTCTGGGTAACTCTCTTGCCTTGAGATAGACTTGTGATTAAAGCGACCCCTCTGTTAATGGCCTCCCTTCCAGGACCTGATGGATCCACACTGCTGGTACAGTGGCCGGCAGGGGGGAGGTGGCAGCATCCACCTGCACTGTGTGCCCATCATGGGAAGGGGGATACCTTTGGGTATGCCTCCTTGGCAAGATGCACAAAAGTCTCTTTTGTGCCATGTCCTGTTATCCCTAACCAGTGTGACTTTCGGCATGTGATACCTTGCTTTTTCTACAAAAGCCAGGGCTGCTGTGTGCCCTGACATCTCTCCTCTCTCCAGAAAGGCCCAAACAGCCTGTCCCATAGTAACAGAGACTTGGTGTGGCAAGCTTGCCCACTCCAGCAGGGTCCTCTTTCTGGGCAAGCAAGCTAGCACCCATCACCATCATGAAATGCACTTAAAATGTGTGAAAAGAAGTGATTTGAGAAATGTAGAGTCTCATTGCTTACACTTGTCCTGGTCCCCAGAGGGTGCTCTCGCCCCAGGGTTTGCCACACAGCTTCCAGTGAGAGGGATGTGTTGCAGGGAAGGAGAGCCCAGAAGTGCGGCCCAAGGAGCCCAGCTGCAGGCTGCAATTTCCTCTTCCATGTTCGCTGATCTGTTCTGCTGCTGCAAGAAGTGCTGAGCCCACCACGCAGGCTGCACACACGGAAGAGCCTGAGCAAGGCCATCTAAGCAAGAAAGGACCAGGACTCTCATTGCATGGATACACAGCGGAAAAATTCTTTCCAGGTGGAGGGAATGCAATTAGCTCCCTCTGAACTACAGTTTCCCAACCCTTTCCAAAGGCTTTAATTATTTGGGATGCCACCATCACTTTTGGAGAAGAAACTGCTATTCTACCTTCCTCCAAAAGCTTTTGCTAATTGCCCTTGGCTGTTACCTTGTGATCTGACCCACTTCCACTTGGCACTCGCACTTCCTCTCCTCACGAGTGCACTTGTGGTCCTGGTTCTTCCCAAGGAGGTGTCTCTCTGAAGGCCAGCTCTTGGCAGTGGGACGAGCAAATGGTAGACCATGGTGTGATGCTTCCTGCCGTGCACCCACCTGCATCTGCCATAGTTCTCTGGCACACGGGGACCTCATCCCCGGGGTCTCCTCATCATGGGCTTGCAGGAATACCCGGCCTCCTGTCATGGCTGGAGTGGCTGCTGGGTTTTCTTTCTACCTATCTGCCTGCTGGGGAACAGCGCTGTGTTTCCAGTCCCTAAATTAGCCTTTCGTGGGTTGTCTCTCTCCTCCATTTCACAGCAATCTGGTCAAATCCTGCCCAGATTGATACATCGGGCTCCATGGTCACCCACACACTCAGGGCAAGCAAAGGCAGGCCCCATTTTCCAGCAGAGGAAGCAGAGAAGCAATGCACCATAGGCATGATATGGCATCACGGCCACAGCTGGGACTGCCACAGTTGCGACAAGTGGCAGCGCCCCCCGCCACTTGCAGAGGAGAGAGCACCAGAAACAGGGCCAGATCCCCATGGTGAGTCCCACATCTTCAGATTGTAAAAGCAAAAGCCACCAGTGATTCTGGCAGAGCCATTCTCCTTTGCCTGCTGTTTCTCATTAAGGCCATATTCCACTTTCACTGCTTGTAATTACAACCAGTAATGACAGGAAAGGTTCCTAGCAGCAATGCTGTTCTTTATCTGGACCCTACAGTTGTGCATTTCCCCATCAGTCCCACAGCTCTTGTCTGGTGACATGCAAAGATCATGCGAGGTGACCGTCTCATGTATGTGGTACTTGGCCACGCCAAAGGAGAGCCTGCCCTGGCACCTGGACCCTTCAGTGACTTTGGAGTGTGTCATAAGATCTTAAACCTGACCCCTGTAACACAGCACCACACCAACAGGCTACAGTTGAGGTTGCAAAACTGCACCAGTACCTCCTGGCTTCCACCTCCTCCAACCTCTACTATTTAAGCTCTGGGATTATAATGGCTTCTGGGACAGCTGTTGACATTCTCTTCATTACAGAAAATCTTAACAAACAGGCACGCTGTACCTGGTTCTGAGCCATTTGGGGGGTGTGTGGTTTCTGCTGCAGCAGTTTGAAGATCCAGATGAACACTTACAGCAAGACTGCAGATGACCACACCACCGTGACACTGGAATTTGCCACGACTGAGGAGTCCTCAGCCTCTGAGGTGAGGCTGCATCTCAGCAACACCTTTGTCAGGATTTCTCTCCTGCCATCACCTGTGCCTTTGTGCAGCAGCACTGAGGGGGGCTTGGATGTTCCCCAAAATTAAGGGATGGCCACGCTAGCTCCTGGTGAAGAGCCTCAGCTCCAGAGCAAAGTGGGTACAGTGAGCTGGTTGCAAGATTTCATAAAGCTCCATTCTTCTGGCCAGACCTCCAGCATGGCACCATCTCCTTCACCTGCCCCTGTAAAGCCAGAACCACAGCAGGCACTGCTGGTTGGACTGCACCCATGTTTTGTGTGCCAACATCCTTTAACATTAACCCAGTCCTCTCTGCTCATCACCATTTGGTGTCTGGGATGGAGCCTACCTACAGAAATTTCACCTGCTGCCTGGTGGAAAATGGAGCCCTCAGATTCATCTAGGAAATGTGGTGAGCTTGCACGGGCAGGGATGGTGTGGCTCAGGAACAGAGATCCTGGGCTACTGCTGTGCTGGGAGGGGAGCAGGAGGAGCAGGTGGCTGGCAGGGAAAGACAGCTGTCTAACCAGGAGATGGAGGAACACCTTCTGCTTGTCCCAGGCATCCACCGCTCGTCAGTGAGGCAGCGAAGGCTGAGAAGCTCTGAAGCATCCCAGCCTCCACAGCACCATTATTTATGCATATC